AACTTATTCTAAATTTTAAAATTAGAAATCAATACTCGTTTTTCTGATAAAGAATTTTTAAAACTATTTTTAGAAATTATAGAATGGGAAATACAAACTTTTAATATTCCTAAAAATTGGATCTCAAATAATGTATGTTCTTAAATATTTTCTAATATCTGCAATTGTCCGATGAATCACAGTGTTATACATAAATTGCATAACGAGAACACCTTTGATTTAAATAATAAAATTCTTAAAAAATTAGATAAATAAATTAAAACTTGCTAAATTATAGTATATAGTATATTATAGATCATGCATCTTATGAAGGGATGAATATATTTGACGATAATGTTTGTTTAAATTTTCTGGTGTTAATGTTTAACAATATTCGTGAAAGATTGCCACTTCATAAACTAAATCTAAAAGTTGGTACAACAGTAATGTAACTAAGATATTTAAGTATATCAGATGACATCTGTAATGAAATGCGCTTACAAATAACAAAATTATTACAGTATGATATAGAGTGAAAAACAATAGCTGGAGAAAAAATTGGAAATAGAGTTTTTATTAAAAAAAAAAACTTTTAACACAGAAAACTCCTTAACATTGACTTTCATTTTGTATGGTAAACAATTTCCAATTGTTGTGGTGTTTGCTATGACAATAAACAAATCTCTAGGTCAAATTTGTAATAGTGTAGGTTTGTATTGAAAAAAATCCTTATTTACTCATGGTCAATCATATGTGGCTTTTTCAAGATACAAGGATAAAAATAATTTATTTGTTAAAGTAGAAAGGTAAATAAACACGGAAATAAAAAATATAGTTTGGAAAGAGATTTTCACATAATTTATTGACTGTACTGAATCATTTTTATAGATAAGTTGGCAATATTAATGGCAATAAATTGAAAGTTATTTATGAATATATTATTATTTAACAAGTGCACATGACGTGAATTATTTTTTTAAGATGATAATTTTTGTTGAAAACATTTAGTTTTAAATTTTTTGGTGTAAAAAATCTCTAATTTTTTAAAGAAAATTTTTCAAAGTATAACGGCTTTGTATACATGTTATAAAAAAATTGTTATAGCTTTTTTCAAAACATTCAGTCAATTTTATCATACCTTATGTTTTAAATATTAGTTGTACAGTTAAATTTTAATTTATGGATTTACAAAATTAAAATACAACAAGAATTATTTCATAATACGTATACGTTAAAGCATTAAGTAAGAGACAGGCGGGTTCTTTGAATTAAGATTATATATATATATATCTATACATACATACGAAATTTTGATACTTTTAAAACATGTATGCATTGATAATTTTACATAAATCAAGTATATATCTGAATTTACGATTGGGTGCGGGGAGTTCTGTCTCTTCATGGTTATGATAAAGCTTAATTTAATAGGTTATTCACTTAACCTTTTTTAATTAGGCGATACTACTACAGTTATTATTATTAAATATTTATGTAACGTTTAAATTTGTAGATGTAGTTGTATTATGTCATATATTTTATGTACACAAAAAAAAATAATGAATATCGTATTGTTTTAAAATAATAGTAACACAAAAAACGTTAAATGCACTGAGAACGTAATACTTATCAATGAATCGCAACAATTTGATGATCATTATATTATATTAATTTTTAATAAATTATTTATTCACATTATTACCTTAATTAACATGGATCTCATGTTCTATCTATATGTATAAATTCTATCTATTTGCCTTCTTGGCGGTGTCGTAAAATAGATGAAAATAATTGTTTTCAAAACTAAGTGAAATTAATATTTATTGTTAATAAGGATGATTCATACTTAATAGAAAAAGTTGTGAGAGGGTAAGAAAAATGGTGTGGTAAGGCTTTGAAAGTCAAGAAAAGTAGTGTTGGGTGCTGTAGGGGTACAAGAAAAAATGAGAAATCTCGATTTAAAGGTAAAACTGTTGAATTTTTAGATTATTTGTGAAGGGTCTGTGGGGGGTCTGTGGAAGGGATGTGGGGGGCTGTGGGGGGATATGTGGAATACCCCACACAAATAACTATATAATGTATGAATACATATATAAGCAGGTATTGTTTGGCTTTGAAACTTGTTCATACCATTGTCAATGCCAATCTAATTAGAAAATAAATCCGTTATAAATCAATTGCTTCATCAGTGAAAACAAAGGTATTTGTGGTAGTAATACATTTTTATCTAATAACTTTCCATTCAGAATGCTAATTGTAAAAAAAGTCTTTCATCAATTTTTTTATGACTGATTGAAGCTTATTAACTTTATTGCACAGCCTTGGTTGGTTAAGACTACGAAGTCAAATAACTAACTTTCAGTTGTAAAAGGTGCACTGGCATGCCCAACAAATTCAGTGAGCTAAGAAACTGTGGGTGGTTTTTTACAGGTTTGTTAGTATTGTGAGCTTTATGAACAGATTGCATTATACTGAGTTTTCTGTCAGCAACTGTTATATTTCAAAATTTCCAAGACGTCCAAATTTGTCGCTGCTCGAATTGCTTTTTTTTGCCAGCCACTTTTAATTTATTTTAAGGCGTAAGTCTTTATACAGTGCACATTGTTCTCTATGCATTTTTTATGTATCTTAAAATTACCCTGGAGCGATGACATAAACCTACAACTGATGCAGATAAAAGCACTTAGTCTGTCTTGAATTAAATGTCAAAGAATTGCTTCAATCCAATGTGTTTGATATAAGTCAACTAGGGCATGCAATAATCAGTGTGCTTTGCTCCAGTGGCACCAGCTCCAGTGGTGGCATTGGAATCCAGCAGAAGCACTGCCTTACCATATCTAGAGCCTCCAATCCAACATTCTCGAGTTTTATTGATCTCTACAGCCAATCCAAAATTCCTGTAGAGGACTCTCACCCACCCCAACTCCCTTGCGCTATTTAAAACCACCCACCCTAATAGGCTGCTTTTAACACACTTCCTACTTGTTTATTTTGGCCAGTGTAGCCAAATTAAATACAAAAGTTTTGGCTTGTTGATTATTAAAACTCGTTGCACCACCTTCCTTGTACGTTTTAAGAGTTTTAAGCTAAATTTATTGCACTATTTTGCTGTATTGGTTATGCCTTATTTAAGAATGTATCTATAAATGTCGATTAAAAATAAGTAATGATTAGGTTCATAACAAATGAAGTACTTTTACCGAGATCCCGTTGTTTAATATTTATGCCGTATCTATCTTGCACCTTCCAGAATATACATGGATATTGATGTACGAAAAGTGTGTATCAGTGACGATTTTGAAACTATCATTTTTTTTTCGAGTCAGGCCTTTTGCATAGCTAAAGAGTCGCTAACCATGATTTGAGTAACTTTGTGAGCTATACGTACATTGAATGTACGAATATAATCTCCATCCCGGATTTTGTTACGATTAATGGCGATAATGTAATTGTCATATTAAAATTCATGTCAATGTAATGTGAATAATTTTAACGATGTATTATTCTTATTCAATAAATTATCCAGCACATCAATGATACGTTTGACAGAAGGTTAATTATGGTTTTTGTAGCCACAATGGGCATCTTTGCAATTGGCAAGTGCGTTTCTGTCTTTACCACATATTAAGTTAATTTGGAAAAGTATGTATGTTTTGTTTAACATTGTAAGCAATGAGCTTACTTTATTATAAATTGGGCCTTTCTTTTTAAATGTTGAATGAAACTGTTGACAATTTGCATTATTATTTTTTAAAATGATTGATGCTTTAAGCGATATTATCTGAAAACATTAATTGAATGTTTGAATGAACTGCAGAAGTAGGATAGCATCTGGTTGGTTGATGTATTAATGGTTTAGGTTGTATTTTAATTTCTGGTAGTTACACTTTTGGTGATGCACAACACGTTCTGGCTGGCTTATTTTAGAATTTAAGCGCATGACAAAGTAGAAATTTTTTTCCATAGTATTAATCACCACGCTTAAATAAGTATAACGTATAATTTTAGGCTCATACTAAAATTCAATACGATAAAATAATTCAGATGTTTATTACTACTACACTTGATGGCGTTTTTAGTCATTTTCTCTGTGCTTATTAAATACAATCAATGCGCTTGTCTTTGTGAAAATCGTCTTTTTCAAACTCTTAACATTTCGCAGCTCCTAATCATTTGAAATATTGACTTGAATCATTAACGACCAATATAATATTGTATACAAAAAAGACTACAACATTACTATGTTTACATTTAGTACTTCATTTTAGCTGTACTCTGCAGGCCAATATGCCTCTGCATACACGTTAATGTAGGTATGTTAATGGGCACCCGTTAAAAAATTAACTACAGATAACAGTTAGAGTTAGTAATAACTGACTGTAATAAAAGCATTTATCATATATTTACTTAGAAGATGAATAAAGCATATGTTCACTTGTATCAAAAAATTGGAAAAATTGAATTTGCTTCAATTTTATAATTCAGAACCCCCAAAAAAGCCTATAGTTGGCATTAACATATTTTTGCAGTTTTGTAGAGTCTCATGCATTACTATTAGCTTTTTATTTTGTAGAAAGGCTATAAAGGGACTGTGAAGCATTAGTAACCTGTGAAATACTGATAAACATATAATAGTCATGTTTCTCTTGGTAAGTTTTTGTATATCTGTTAATAATCATTTTGTATCAAATTATAGTACACTTTTATCGTAACATCTGAAAAACATTCGTACATATTTGTTCTTAAAACTCAGTAATTCTTATTACACAGATTTTTATGAAAAAAAGAAAGATGAAAGTATCCAAAGGTTCTATTGACCAACTTTTGTAAATCAAGAGTTTATAGATAAATACATCACTATCTATAAAAAACTAATTTAACTAACATTATTTTTTCAAAATATACATTTTACTACTATTTATATTATACAGTAGTATATCTTGTTAAACATACCTTAAAAGACTTTTTACTCCGTTTATTGCGATGTTTAGGCTCACCCACAAACCGTCGAATATTCATGTGCATTTTGTAATTAACTTGAGTATTAAGATCCTTATCATTCACTGCATGACGACTATAACTTAATCTTCGATGCTAAAAAATTTAAAATAGTTACTTTCTTACACCTAATCAAAAGAAAATCTAATTTCAAATAAAATAGCGTTATTTTCATGATACATAAGGAAACAAAGTCACCTACCTATTTATAAAAAAAGTGTATTAAAATATCAAAGTACTTATTGCGACATAATAGCTCGCGATAACAAACCCTGACCACCAGGTGAGAGTTTTCAAACGCAACTGCTGTACCGCCACTCACTTACTAGAAAGTAGAAGGACTGTCCTTCCACCTCTATTGTCTATATATTATTACCAGAAACCTGAATAAAAAGAGTGGTACATCAGGTTAGAAAAACATGCAAAGTCTTTGAGTAGTATAAAGAGAGTGATGTGGTGTAATATTAAAGGTATTCTATTATATTCTAAGTACGTTGCTTTGATGGAGTCAACGTTTTAAATGTTAGTGTACATAAAATGGTATGACAGGTGGGAAAAGTATAGAGAGGTATCTATGTTTGACATACTAAGAAAAATAAAGAGATACATTAATTATGGTAATCAACCATCTTCTTAGAAAATTAGAAGAAAGTAATATGAGTAGCGACACTGTTATTGGATTGCAGAGTATGCATAAGGGAATCTGTGACCAAATACGCTATTTTCAAAAACTGCATGGAAGATGAAATCGATAGAGAGAATAAGACAAATCAACCTATTACTGCTTGGCTTGTAATTTTTCAAGTTTTTCATTAACATGATGAAGCCAGTCAGTAACATTTAGACTCTTCAGCTACACTTTTGTTATAACCTTTTTATTAATCAAAGAAACCAGAAGTTACTGAGTACTAATTAAGAAAGAGAAAAGAAGAAAAGGAAAAGATACGTTCTGACAAGCCCAAAGTAACTACATAATTTAGATTAATTAAATTTTGCGACACTTTTTCACCATGTCGATAACTATAGTCAACATGTGTATAGTAATACTGCAACTTATAACTAGAAGTATTTTCCATAGTAAAACGCGAAAAAAACATGATAAGACAGAAGCTACTATAGTTTTAAGAAAACATCCACCTTACTAAGATGAGTCAGTTGCAATTACATGCGTGGAATATGTTCACTTCCTGTAACAGTAACTTTACGCTACAGTGAACATATTGCGTCACCACTACAGTGCACAATGGGACATGCACAGCGCTACCTTATGACTAAAATTAAATGGCAGAGTCATATCTGCTCCTACAGGCAAATGTTTTTTGCTGCAGTGGATGATTCACTTCTTTACACACGTATCATCTTAGTACTAAATCTCTATAGCTACTCGCACGTTTGTGAGCAACGCACGATATGACAAAGTATACTGAACAGTCATATAACTCACCGATATGGTGTGGTGCTAGCTTTTTTTGAAAATGCCTATGGTCACGTAAGTAGCAATTGCATTGCCAAAGAAAACTGATTAATTGTACAAGCCGTTCCTGTGAATAGCACTTCACTTGCTTAAAACGTTCGTGTTCTGATAAGCGATCCGAAGAAACCTAACTACGGACGTTCAGTTGTAATATTGGATCATTTTATGTCAGCACATTCTTGAAAGTGTTGCGATCAACTTGTTACTACGATAATGTTGTAGTGCACTGATAAAACTATGGCCTTGTAGCAGCTACTAATTGTAGAAACTCTGCCTCTTAACTCTATATCAATGACAGTTATAACTGTTGCTATGGTTCATAGCATCTACTACAGCAGATTAACTTTATTTCTCATGCAGATCATCTTGGAACTAGTTCTCCAAAGGCTCTCATAAATATTTTATTAATACAGGAATTAGCCAAATTATACGAACTCGTATTATGTTATGCTCTCATGGCCACGTTTTGTATTCCAGTTTAATCTAAGTTAGTGTTTATATAAATAAACCTGTTTATATATTGTTAAGTCTACATTTGTTGAACCACAATCTCAATGTAAATGTGCTTAACAGTAATATTATTTTTTATTTTCATTTTAAAAAGTAAATAAAAGAAAAACTAATGATTCTTTTATAATTTTACAAACAACTTTCAAGTATCCAACGTTATATCCATGTTTACTTACGATTACTTTTAAATTGACGTGGCAAGTTTTTCTATGCCAATCAAAAGTTGTTTATTACAAAAGATTCTTTTTGGTACTTCGTGACCATATAGAAGCTTGTCCAAGCAAAACCAGACAGTCGCCGCACGAGGTTCATTTTTTCAACTCGCTCACGATCACCAGTTAGTGGCTAAAAAAATAATACGCAAAATTAAATCGATAGATTTTTATCTGCTCTTTCGGTTGGTGCTATCATTTTTGGCTGCAAACCCTTTCTTTAAGGTTGAAATCAAGTCAAAAGTTGAGGTTAGTTTCTCTCAGCGTTCATTTTTTTTTCTTTTTCATACGTTAACCGAAAAAGCAAGTCATCAAGTATACGTAAATAAATTCTCAAAGTAGAAATGAAATGGGTTTGTAAGATATCAATAAAAAAACACAGAGGCGCATAGCTCGACGCGGCCTCGCGTGCCATGGCTACGGCGGTCAGGCGATGCTCTTTTTCATATCTACTTCACGATCGAAGACAAGTAGCTAAGAAAATTTTTTTTAAATACGAATTGATAGATTTTTATCTTATCTTTTCAATGGTACTATTAAATTTTGTCGAAAAATTTTTTTTTAATGGCATATATCAGGTTATATAATTAGATTGCTCACTCTCGNGTTTTAAGATGTATCTAAGCCATAGCTTAGATTTACTGTCCCAATAGGGTTCGATTTAAAATAACATCGAGCTTGTAAATAAATTAGATATTTAACGATTTCTTGCAATGTTATTACAGGTATAACAAGTAATATTTGTAATACATATATATCTATTAATTTATAGGCAATGGCATATATCAGGTTATATAATTAGATTGCTCACTCTCGTAATAGTGATTTATTTACCTTTTTCCCTTTTATTTTTTATCAATCAAAAAGGCACTTTCTGATACGATTGTTGTTAACAATAAGAGTAGGAGAGCGGTAAATGCATTTTTGGAAGTCATACGTTAAGAAAAAATCGTCAGTCGCGCAGTCGTATATTCTGCTATTACGTTATTATCATACTGCCAAGATCTCAAACGGCCAACTAAAAGGAAACTCTCGGATTCATCCGTGATGGCTATTATTACTTATAATTCTGGACTCGTGACAAATCCAGTGCATAGTGTCACATATTAAACCTAGGAATATCGTTGTTTTATGTTATTCGCGAAGGTTTCGGTGACCTTTGCTTGTTGCGAGTATATTTTGCGCTTACATACCCTCTTATTAAACCTTGTGCTTTTAAGAACTTTGAGGCTAATAAATCAGTGTTTTTAATAAGTGCGCAAAAAATTAGTGTCCAGTGCGTGGTTGTCGATCGATAATCAATATTACTATTATACTTCTAAAAATTATTGGAAGCTATAATCATGAGTTTCATATGTTTTTTTGATCCTAAAAATGGTAATATAAAGCATTCTTAAAATTATTGGACTGTACCTGAGAACGTCAAAAAGTTTTTCCTACGATTCCCGACAACGCCTATATTTGTGATCAATGTAGGAAACAAGTACTTTAAGATAAACTTCCGTTACAAGATTATTTTCAAATAGTCAATAATTTAAAAGCAAACTTACAGAGCGAAAACGTTTCAAAGATCGAAAAACTTTTGCTCCAGAAGTTATTACTTTTTACATGGGGTCTCCGACAAATTGCAAAATTTTTAAACTCGTCTGTATGATCAGCTAGTTAATCCAAACTATCAAATGATTCGATAAGAAACAGAAAACCGTATAATACACTATCAGATCATACTCTCAAAAAAGATAAATTGTATTATAAAAACGATGAGAATAGCAGAATAATGCCCCGAATGAGAGATAATGAGTGTATTACAAAAAAGAATAGCAGTAAGGAGTTCGTGCAAAAAAGACTCGTTCTTTACAATTTGAGAGAACTTTATCTGAAATTCGAAAACGATAATCCTGAAACAAAAATTGGTTGCTCTAAGTTTGCACAGTTTTGGCCAAAACGTTGCTTGCTTGCTGGTGCAAGTGGCACACACACTGTTTGCGTTTGTGTCTATCATAAAAATTTTAAACTTACGCTTGATGGTTTGAACATTTCAGATTTAACGGTCAGAAAAAATAAATACTTATAAAGATTGCATCGCCACAATCGTTTGTCCAGAGCAAACGCCAGATTTTTTTTTAAGTAAATGCAAAAATTGTCCTAATGTTGATAAATTTACTTCAGATTTATTACGTTTACTGAAAGGTGCTTGTATTACGAAAATAAAATACCAACCATGGCATACAACCGTCAGATCAATGTTACAATCACGCCAGGATCCTATTTTAATGTTTCTTGAAAAATTTTCATGTTTTCACTACAACAACAATCAATGCAGTATAGCAACAGTAGTTCCATATTATAAGAACTCAAAGGCAGAAAACCGCATATAAAAGTATTGTTATTTTCTCTGATAATCTCAATCACGACAAAGTGGCCGTTCATTACATCCAACAAATTATAATCGATTATCTCAAAAAAACCTTTCCTTCTGTGCAAAAAACCATCTACTATACTGATAGCGCCACTCAGCATTTCAAAAACAAAATACAACTTCCAAAATTTGACGCTTTTTTTTTGATTCTTCGATCGACGCCAAATAGCATTTTCACGCCGCAGCTCACGGTAAGAACACTTCCGTTGGCCTCGGCGCTTCGGTCGAAAGTAATGCAAGGCAAGCTAGTTTGCAGATGGTTTGGAATGCTCGTATTTTGACGCCTCAAGAACTTTTTAGTTGGGCTTAATAATAATTTTAATAAATTGACTGTTTATTTTCATAGAAAAATGAGTACGTAGAAGCTCAAGGAAAAATTAAAAGTAATATATCAATCAGTTATTACGATCCCAGGAACGCAACCTTTTCATTGTGCAATATCTGTGGTAAAAATAAAACAGCTTCAATTAAAAGAATTTTC